TGTGTTGCTTTGGCCGGGAATCGAACCCGGGCCTCCCGCGTGGCAGGCGAGAATTCTACCACTGAACCACCAATGCGTCCGCTGGGAGCTTTTCGGGAGCCCCGAAACTAATGTGATTCACCCCAAAACCGCCCCGTGATATATAAAAGCTTTTTCCTTCCGAGGGGGCACCCGCGCTCATCAACCGGCCCCGCTTAATTAGAGGCGCTTCTAATTAATAAGTGTGGTCGCGCCCCCAACCCGCTACACACACCCCGGCCGCACGCTGCGCTCGGCCGGATCCAAACGGCGCTATGTGATTGGCTGATTGGCGACTACTCCCTGACCAATCACCACCTGCATTCTGGAGCCGGTGTATTTGCATACGCGGGGGGTCTCGCCGCACAGGGCTCTGCGAGCCGTTTCGGCCAATGGGATCGCGGCTTTTCTGATCCCTCGTTTGCATATCGCCGCTATAAAAGGCGGCGCCGCCGGCCCCTTTCTCTTCAGTCGCTTTGGTGGGTCGTGAGCGATCGTAGCTTAGAGCGCGATGCCCGAACCGGCGAAATCCGCGCCCGCCCCTAAGAAAGGCTCTAAAAAGGCGGTGACAAAGACCCAGAAGAAGGGCGACAAAAAGCGGCGGCGCAGCAGGAAGGAGAGTTACTCCATCTACGTCTACAAGGTGCTGAAGCAGGTTCATCCGGACACCGGTATTTCCTCCAAGGCAATGGGCATCATGAACTCTTTCGTCAACGACATCTTCGAGCGCATCGCCGGGGAAGCGTCGCGCCTGGCGCACTATAACAAGCGCTCGACCATCACGTCGCGGGAGATCCAGACGGCTGTGAGGCTCCTGCTGCCCGGCGAGTTGGCCAAACACGCCGTGTCCGAGGGCACCAAGGCTGTCACCAAATACACGAGCTCCAAATAACGCGGCGCAACTTCAACCTCAACGGCTCTTTTCAGAGCCACCTACTTCATCCTAAAGCCCTGATATCACTGCGCTCCCCTTTGCCCTTGAGCTTTAAGGGAGTTGAAGGGCTCGTGTATCGCGGGGGGGGTTGGCACCAGGCACTTCAAAGCTGCCTTTAAAACAGATCATTCTGCAGCTTTTCAACGCAAAAGGTGCTTTTTTCACCCCCGGACCCCTTTATTTGCGCTGCCGTTTTCCCCTTCAACCCATTCCTGTGCTCTGATGGGATGAACGCGAACGTCGCGGGGAGGGGGGGGGAACACAGGCGAGATCCTCTGGTCCGCAACGGTACAAACGCTGTGGTTGAGGCTGGACCCGGGAGTGGAGGGAGTGGTGGGGAGCGATTTGCTGCCGTAGGTGGGTTTTGTTCCTTTAGGCTTCCTCAAAGTACTAAAGAAAGTTAAGTTTGACCCTAAAATCCTCATTGGTGGATGCTTTAGACCGTGTTTGGGAGGGGAAATCCCACCCCCCAGCCCCTTGGTTTTTACCCTTCGCTTCCAACAATTTGCCTACAGCACAAAACCAACTGGGACGCGTTTTTTCCAGCGGACGGATGGTACCAAGCGGTGCTTGGTACGTTCAGCTCCACTCCTGGTCTCTCTGGGGACGGATCCCAACCGCGTTCGCCCCGGCGCGGGGTTTGGAGCAGCTT